GAGGGCCCAGGACAGGGAGAGCCCTGGGTGGGGTGCGGGGCCCAGGGAAGGAGGATGGGGGGCAGAGAGCGGAGAGGGTGAAGCTGGGGGAAGGGCGACCCAGGTGGAAGGCGGCCCAGGGGAGGGGTGGAGAGGATGCGCTCTTCCTGAGGAGGGTCGCAAGCAGCCCACCTCAAACAGGGCCATGTTCTTGCCGTCATACTCCTTGCCCCTCTCCGTGTCGGTGCTGTTGATGAAGGGGCTGCTTTCCTTGGGGTTGCCATCACCTGAGGAGGCAGAGAGTCAGGGGTCTGCACCAACTGTTTGTCCTCTGTCCACCTGGGCATACAGTTGGGCGGCCACTTGGACTCTCTGAGCCTTGGTCTGCACGTTAGAGAAATGGGGCTCACGCGCTCTTCTCTGTAGAAGGGACCAAGAGCCTGTGACACTGCCCGGCAGAGGGTGAACGTGTGAGCGCTTCCTTGCTCTGGGTGGGGGCGCTACTTCATTCACCAGAGTACCCCAAGACCCTCCAGAGACCCCATTTTTTCCTAAGGTACTAGAGATCAAACCCAGGGCTTCACACATGTTAGGAAAGCACTCTGCTGCTGAGCCTTTTATGTTCCATTTTGAGGCAGGGTCTCACTAAGTGGCCTGGGCTGGCCTCAAACCTGCAATCGTCCTGCCTCAGCCTCCCAAGGAGCTAAGATTACAGGTTTGTGCCCCATGCCACTTAGAGCTCCTTCTTGATCATAACCAGGACCATCCTGGTGCTTTGGGGTGGACGCCTGTTCCTTCCTGGGGAGAAAGGAGAACAGTGCAGTCTGAAGCCCCAAGGATACTCCATGTCCTGGAGGGCAGACCTCCCACTGCCCCCCTTCACTGTCAGTCAACCGGATGTCTACCAGGTACCCACATGGGGAAGCAAACACACAGAACGAGATGCCGTCCTGGTCCTTCAGGAACCAAGCCAAGGGAGATGAAGCAGTGATCAGGAATTCCCAGCAGATGCTGGATTTAGTTGTGGTGAAGCAATATTGGGAGCTCAGGCTGTGTGGGAACCCAGGAGGGCACTCAGCCCAGCCTGGGAGGTTACGGAAGGCTTCCCAGAGGAAGTGACGTGTCAGCTCAGAACTGAAGGATGAGTAAGAGCTAGACTGGGAGGGAGGCGGGGAGGGTGTCCCAGGCAGAGAGAATAGCAGAACAGCGCGTTCAAAGGCCCAGAGGTGAGAGTGAACCGAGTAGGTTAGAGAAGCTCAACAAAGTATGGTCTGCTGGAGTTGGAGGAAGGGGCACGTTGGGGCTGAAGAATAAGAACTGGCCAAGATGAGCCTAGAAGTGTAAATGTGGGGTAAATGCGGGGTGAGCCTTTAACCAAGTAGCAGATGATCTTAAAGAATTTGGAGGACAGTGGGCAGTCATGAAGAGTTCAACACAGAGAAACGTCACCAACAGGCGAGTGTGTTTCAGAGCCATCACTCTGGCCTTTAGGTGAGGAATACAGGAGCCAGAGACTTCTGGTGTCCAGGCCAGGGCTGAGGAGGACCCAGACCAGGACAACGTGAGGCAGTGGACAGACTCGGGAATTACTGGCACATTTCTATGTCAGATGATTGGGAAAGGGGGAGAGGAAAAGAATCCAAGATAATGCCTGGTGTTCTACCATGGTGAACGGGTGGATGATGGTGCCACCTTAATAACTTGGGAGACAAAGGGGTTTGGGGTGGGCCAGACGCTGAATTTAGTTGTGGTGAAGCACTATTGGGAGCACTACCTGGAAGCCACCGGGATATATGGATCAGATACACCAAGGACAGAAGCTGGGCCAGAGAAAGGAGAGCAGGGTCCCACGTAAAGATGCGCAGGCAGAGAGCTGAGCCGTGTGGTATCAATGAGACCACTCAAGGAGAGAATCCCTGGCATCGGGAGAGGGGTCCCTTCCCAGAGACCCCAGGTCTCTGCAGGTACCTTCCCTCCAGTCACCAGTCTTCCCCAGATGCAGGGCCGAGGCTCAGCAGTCGTCATCTCTCTGGACCCTAGAGAGACTCCCCAAGTCCCCAGTGAAGTTGAGGCCCTGTGCACCCTTGAATCTCAGTCCCCTCCTCTCTTGGTTTCCCTCTCTTCCCATCCCCATCTGTTCAAATGCTCTGCATCCTTCTCCTGACCTCCTGGACACCTTCCTTAGTCCATACAGGGCCCTTTTCCAGAGCATTGCCTGGCCCTCTTCTAAACCCACTTCCATCCTGACTAAAAACTGGGGCACAGGAAAGAAGTGACATCTTACCTATTCCAGGGAAGCCCACCACCACCCAGCCTCCTGCCTCCACTTCCACTCTCTCTTCAAGAGGAGGTGCCTAACAGAGGAACATCACCAGCTCTTCCTTCTCACACATGGGAGACCCTTCCCCCCCCATGGGGGCCCAGCGCAGGAGAGAGGCTCAGGAAACAGGCTTTGGAGGTAAATTCCTCAGGTCTCCCTTTATGGCCCCAGGTCATAACAGAGCTGTCTGGGGCCACCCAACAGGAGAAATAAGAGTCAGGTAGGTCCCTCTCTGTTTAGAATGCCTACAAGGTGCCTCCTGTTCTCACCGAATCATGGTGAGCACTAGAGAGGCTGGGGGGGGGGCATGGCATGAGAGGAATTTCCTGAGGGTTGGGGGGGGGCGGGGGCTGGAGTCGGAGATCCAGGTTGCAGCCCCAGTGTCACGGCTTTGCCTTCACCTCGGCAAGTCACTGGAAGCTCGGTTTGCAAAGGGAGAACGCCCAGTGTTTAATTCTTGGGTGGCGGGGTTCACTGGAATAGTGCGGGTTGGGTTGCCCACACAAGTTAGCTATGCGCTACTATCACACCCCTGGGCCTGCCAGTTGGGGCTTCTCATCCCACAGCCTCCCTCAGCCTCAACGTTTAGGGGTTGCTCTGTCTCCTGTCAGACTAGGTCCCTCCCCAGAAGCGTCCCTTTTAGGACCAGGACCCTCCAATCTGCCCTTTTTTACACCCCCTTCCTAGCCCTTCTTCCTTTACTGGGGGTACGGAGGGAGCAGGGACCCAGAAAAGGCCGGAAGGGGGCAAGCTGGCCGGAGACCCCGTAACGAGGCGGCCCTGCGCCGGTCTCCATGGTGACCGCGCGGGCCAAGAGCGCCGCGCCAAGCCGAGCAGGCCACGCGCCCGCAGCCGCTTATGTAACGCGGCGCGCAGCGCAGACCTGACTCCAGGCCGGATCCGGCCAGTAGGAGAGGGCAGGGGAGGGGGCGCCTCGGCCAGCCCCAGTCCCACGTTTCACCCGCCGCCGGGGCGGGACGCCAGGCTGCTGGCCTGTCAGCCAGGCCGGTGGGTCCCCTCCCCGGAACGCCCAGCGCGCGGCCTGGGGGGTGGGGAGTGAGCTCCGAGTTCTCGCCGGAGCCGGACAGCTCAGGGGAACTCGCCCTGACCCCCGAGCCAGAGTCGGGGTGACGGGGAGCGCGGGGCGGCGCGCGAGGCAGGCCAGACCGAGGCTCAGCCTCCCGCCCCCGCCCCTGCCCCCGCCCCCTGGGAGCTCTCAGCCCGAATCGGCTTTCAATTAAGCTGCAGCGGCCAGAGCTCCCGGGGAGGACGCGGCGAGCTGGCAAGGGAGCCTCCGGGGCCTGGGGCCGGGCCTGGGGGAATCCCCAGCCAGCCTGGGGGCGAGGGGGCGTAGACCCCACGGGAAAGGACAATACCCTTGCATTTTTCTTTAGTCCAGAGGAGCCCTCTTTTCCGGGCCAATCTCGCCTCCCCGAGGTCAGCAGCCAGCTCCTTCCATTCAGCCCCAAGAATACAGAATCTGACCTGCCAGGGGTTCTTGGACCCACTTCCCTCCAGCCCAGAAAGTCCTTAGCTCCTCCTACCACCTTTCCAGCGTCCCTGGGAGGCCTTCTCTCGTTGGGACCCAGAACCTGGCCTGACACAGGTTCTGGCCACTCTAGTCCAGGCCCTGGACCATGTATGGTCTCTAGATGGGCCGGCTTTAACAGCATGTAGAAACTGACGGGAGGGGCAGGACCATATAGAGTTCCTAGTTCCACTCCTGCTTCAAACACAAAGATGCCTCTTTACTAGGCCTCCCAAGACCCCATGAAAACCCTGAGGCCCACAAAAGCCTTGGTAAAGAAAGTGGGTGCTGAGGGACTGGGCCATATCCCACGCCTGGGGGAGAAAAGAGATTACCTTGCAAGCTGAGCCCCTGTCACAGAGTGGAAGCATCTGAAGGGGATCCCGAATGGAAATGAAGTCTACCCGACCCTGACTTTGCTCCCTGAGCGCGCAGTCCGCATGCCAGGCGCTGCCGCAGACTCAACTTTGCCAAACCCCCTCTCCCTGCAGCCAAAGCCCGCGGGGGAGGGGGCAGTTGCCCAATGAGGTGACCCCAGGGTCACTGGGGAGATGGATGAGTTGGTCAGCTGGTAGCTCTGGTTCCTGTATGCCACTCAGCCCCCAAGAAAAAATGGGGAAGGGGTGTCTCAGACAAAGGATCAGGAACCCTGGTGTCCCCAGCCTTCCCTGCGGCCACTTGGCCCTGAATGGAATCAGGATAGAGGACCTCAGAATCGAAGCTGCTAGAGTCTGGAAGACCCCACTCTTTCAGCTCTTGAGGCCTTTCGGTCCACCCCTAGAGAGGTCCACTGGAGTCTCAGCCCAGAGGGTCAAGCAATGCAGGGGGTGGGGGGGAGCGTTTAAAGGCGCTGAGCGCAGACAGCAGGCGCGGGAGGCGCGCTAGTGCGCAGGGGACGCTGCGCCGCTGGAGGGTGGGGGGTGGGGGCGGCTGACAGCCGTGATGGATGGCTGAGACCGCTGGGGGGCGGCGGGGGACCTGCGAGCCCGAGGGGGTGGCTGGCCCCAAGACCTCGGAGCAGGAAGACCGCGGAGGAGGGCCGGGGGAGAGCGGGAGCAGCAAAAGGACTTGCTCGGAGCCCCTCTGCTCCTGGCCATCTCCGCACCCACCGCAGCGCGTCCGCAGTGTCCGCGCCGCGGCGCCTGGGATTCAGTTGCTGGGACCCCATTTCTGAGGCCTCACTAGGAAAGCTATCAGAGCTAACTAAAAAGACTACCCCCTGCCCCGCCCTGGAAACCACACTGTCGCCCCAGGTTACCAAGGGGAGGGGGGAAGGGAAGAAAGGAGGGTGATCTTGCTTCCCATCCTGAACAGGAACCCATGGGGAAGCGAGAGGGAGAGGGAGATTCCGCAAAGTAAAACTGAAAAAGCCACGGAAAAGATAGCTTCAGTCTGAGGTCGGAGCTCGGGAAGCCTTGGGGGAGGGGGTCCGGATTGCACCAAGTGTCCCCTTAAGGGAATGCCGCAGACCAGACGGGGGCTGTCATATGCCCCCAAATCCCCAGAGCTACCTTTCCCCCCACCTTCCAGCTAGAAGTCTCAGAGCAAGAGACTGCAGCAGACTGCGCCCCCCGGCACCACCAGCCCCTGCTCTGCGCCAGGACGCCAGGGTCCCCTCTCGGGGAAAGGAGCCTTCCCGCCCGTCGAGCTGCATGTCAGCCCATTCTGGCTCTTCCATTCCCTTCCCACCTCCTTCTCGGCTTAGCTAACCTAAGTCTGTCCCCAGGCCGCGGGTAACGACAGCCCTTCGGCCCCAGCTCTGCCCCCCGGGCGCGGCGCATTCCAGCACCTCGGACAGCGCGTAGCGCATTCCAATGGAGCTGAGCTCCAGGCCGCCGCCGGCGTCCACCGCCCGGTCAGTCCTAAGCTCTTCCCTAAAGGAAGCCGCCCCCGCTCCGCCTCTCACCCAGCCCTGACTCCCTTCCTCGCCGCCCCCTCCCCCGCCGCCCCCGGACCACTGCTCACCCGGGTTGGCTCCCCCGTCGCCGTCCTCGCAGTCCGTCAGGTTGTTTAGCATGGTGGCGGCGCGGCGCCGGGCCGGGGATGGCTGCGCCGCTTCGCTCGCGCCCCTCTGCCCGCCTTCGCCGCTCTCTGGCTCGCTCTAGCTCTCTCGCTCGCTCGCTCGCTCGCTCGCTCTCCGCTCCACAGAGGAAGGAGCTGCAGTGCCCGCCCGCCCGCCCGGCGCACACACACTCGCACACGGACACACGCTCACACCCGCGCGCGCCCCCTCTCAGCAGCGGCGCTGCTCACCTCATCCCGTATGCAGGAGGCGTGAGCCACTGGCGGGGTTTTTTGGGGGGGAAGCTGGAGGGAGGGAGAAGAGGAGACGTGGGGGGCGGGCAGAGCGCGCCTGTTGGCCCCCTTACAGGAAAACGGGGGCGTGAGCGGGTGGGATAAAGGGGTTGCGGCGGGGACCGGCCCTCTCCTCCCCTGAGCAGCCGCAGCTCCCCCCACTCTCCAGCGCAGGCGGGGCCCGGCACGTGGGCAGGTGCCATCCCGCGCCCTAAAAATAACGGCAGGGAACTAGGTCGCGGCCGCCGGGAGGCGGCCCCGCAGCGGCTGCCTGACTGGGGGTCTGAGGTGACCCCCAGAGGGAAGATGAGGTGGCGGGGTGGGGGAGCGCCATGGAATATGGGGCCCTAGGGAGCCTGTCTGCAAAGCTGAAGAGGCCGGCCCTGAAGGGAGGAGGACAAGCAGACTCTCATATCGCTATTCAAGAGGTTGGAGGTGGAGACATGCAGAACCCAGGGCCCCAAAGTGAAGCACTGTGCTGCACCCCGGAAGGGGTTTGGGTCGCTGATTGTCTGACCCATCCTATCTTAAAATGGATGGGGTGGAGCCCTACTAGTTACAGTGCACTCTCATTATGACAGGAGTCCCAGCACCCTCACCCACCCGCCCACCCAGGACGAGTCTCTGGAGTCTGCAGACTGGGACTTTCTGATGGTAGAATGAGCAGGAGAACAGACAGCAATGATGTTCCAGGGAGCACTGACTTTCCACCAGGGATGGTGCAGCCTCTAGGGAGGGCACTCTGGCCTGAGGCTGGCCAGAGACAGGGGGGGGGAGGGGGGAATGAGGCCGCCAGTCAGTTGGGGACCAGATTTTCTCCTGGGGCAGGAGTGTCTAATCCCCTAATCCAGGATTGCTTTCTGAGGCTTCCTTCCACAGCTAACATGCTCTCTGTGTTTCTCCCCCCTCTCCTGAGATCAGGTCCCAGAAGCTTGATCAACCTGGAACCCCTAGAACACAGGTTTGAGTCAGTGTTGGAGAAATCTCAGAAACCGGCCCCAGAGCTTTAAACCCTTTAAGTGTCTGGAAGTTCTAAACGTGTGAGGGAATGAACAAATTCAGGAAAAATATTTTCAAACTCACCTTCACACCAAACACTAGTCCTCTAAATTCCAGGAGAGTTACAGGACCAGAGAAGTATTATTTTTCTGATCTAATACACAGCTTTCATTTTTACAGATGAAAACACTAAGGACCAAAGAGGGGCAACGATCGCCTAGTTCACTTGCCAGTGAATGGGAAGAACTCAGTCTAGAATATGGTTCCCTTCACTCCAATTTAGGGGCTCTTTTCCTTGGAAGAACTTTCTTTGAACTGGTCTTTCCTTCAATAGAAGAGACAACATATAGCATCTCTAACTTAGTGGCCTCTGGCTACTGGCTCCTAAAAAAAAGGAACAGATATTGGGTCTGATGAGCCCTTTCCTTTTCATGCTCAGGCTTCAGGGATTCCAAGCTGGAATGGACTCTTGATTTTCAATGGAAAGGAGACCCAGAAGACCTTCAGGGGTCCTAACGAGCCTTCCATATCCACAGAGACGCCTTTCTAAAACAGGGCCATTCAGAACCATGGACAAGGCTCACTGCTCCAAATCTGATACAAATTTGCCCAGGACTTCAGACAAGTCAGTGTTCAGTTGCTGACTCAAAGATGCTTCCGAGGGACCCTCCAACAACATGTTGCTGCCGCTTGGTTCTGAAGGGTCTGATGTTGACACTAAGCCTTTAGGGTGAAGAGTTAGCTATTCAGTCGAGGTGTGCACATTGGTATTCTGGGTTGGAAGGAGGACACACACACAAAAAAAGTGAGATGATTTAGGATTGTGAGAGGAATTAAAAGGGTAGTAGGTGGGAAGGCCAGTGTTCAAGAATTTCCCAGTGCTCCACTACTACTGCCACCAGCAGTAGCACACTATGGTATTCCATTACTCTGCGGAGATGTGTGACATACTAAAAACATGTCAAGTGTGTTTGTCTAAGTGCTATGGAATAAAGCAGATGCTGTAGTTTTCAGCATCTCAGGTCTGCAGCATTCCCCTGGGATTATTTCCTTTAATTTGTGGCCCAGAGCTAGGGTAGCTCTGACCACACGGAGCCAAACCATGGGGACACCCAGGTCCCTGGGGAGTTCAGGTGAAGGCAGAAGTGATTCCTCCTCCCCTGGCCACCCCATCTGTCCACCCTCACCAGAATTCTGATCTCAAGAGCCATATGGAATTCAGGAGGTAGTGGAATTCTGTGTATTTCTGAGAAAACCCAAATTCTTTTCTCTGAGCCTCAATATCTCATTTGTAAAACAAAAGGGCTAGGCTGCATAATCCTATTTCCTCCTGCTCCATATTAGCCTCCGACTAAAGCCACAGAGCCCAGACCTGAAAGGGGACATAGCAAGGAGAGACCTCAATCCTTCAGTTTATATCCCTTACCTCCCAGGGAGACTGGGCCCTCACCTAGCCTCATGCCAACCGTCTGTGGTGAGGGTTTCAGAAAACGCTTGCAGGCACCTCCTACACTGCCAGCCTGGCACTGGCCGGTAAGGAGTAGCCCTCATCTCTGAAGCCCAGGGACTCAGCTGCCCGCTCAGCAACGCTTCCTGGCCCAGAGGAAGGTCTGATGCTGAGGAACCCCTCACTAAAGCAAAACGAGATGCAGAGCTGGGTGGGTCCTATTTTTGAACTCTGAATCTAAAACTCATACCCCCTCCCACATTATGTTTCCCAGAGGTGGGGGAAGCTCAGAGAAGCCGCCCCCTGGGTATCAGGATTTGGGAACTGGAAGAGACTTTTTAGAACATCTTCCCCACCACCACTTACAGTGAAATGGGAGTCTGGGAATGGAAATGGAACGGAAAGAATTTTCTTCATGGGGTGAACTTGTGACAGTGGGGACTAGTGCAGCTCTCTGACCTCTATCCCAGGCTCCATCCATTGAACCAGGACAGGGAACTGTCAGGAGGAACCTGGAGCCACCTGACTGGGTCCTTTCCCTCAGAAAGCAGACAGTGTTCCCCGCAGGGCTCAATTCCTATCTTCCTTGTCTCATGACATCACCCGTGACCTACCTACCTCCCCTCAGCTGTGGCCTCATGGAGCCAAGGTCCTGAGCCCCCTCCTTCACGCTTCTTCTCTCCCACCTGCATAGCCCGTCTTCCAGACCCGGAAGCCCAGCAGTGACTCGGTGAGTCCAGCACCCCGCACGCCCCACACGGGGCTCGCCGCAGAGCACGTCAACCACCACTGTCTCCGTGGCAACCGGGGGCTTAATTAACAGGCTGCAGCCCCGTCGCCATAGAAACAGCACCCCCAACAGCCCCCCACTACACTGCAGATTCAGCCCGTCTTCCCTGATTCCCAATCTGAACCCCTTCATGCACCCACCCCGACTCCCACCCCACCAGGAAAGCTAAGGCCTGCAGATCTCTCTGGTTCATTGAGAAGAGAGGAGGGGGATGAGAGAGGAGAGAGAGAGAGAGAAAGAGAGAGAGACCTGTCACCATGGCAACTGCAGCCCGTTCATAACCAGTTTGTTGCCATGGAGATTCCCAGGGCTCACCTTGGGCTGAGGTACTGGGCAATGAGGCTCTGAGTCCTGGCTTAGGATGAACAACTAGAGAACTCCTTGGACAGAGAAGATCTCTCTCTCTCTCTCTCTCTCTCCCTCTCTCTCTCTCTCTCTCTCTCTCTCACACACACACACACACACACACGCACACACACCAGTAATAGTAACAGCATCATTTTTCCCAATTTACAGTTAGAGAGAGTGAAACATGAGGTTTGGGTCTGGAGGAGGCAGATGGCTCTGCCCTTCTAGATCCTTAAAACCTCTTGGCATCTTTTTGGCTAGAGGGGTGCTCAGAAAGCCTGTGTCATGCTTTATACTACAGGTAGGTGACCCAAGACCCAGAGGGGAAATGCCAAGGCCAGAGCACAGAGCCGGAGCTGGAGATGGCTGGGCTGTCTTGTAGTCTTGCCCCCTCCCCCTGTCTCCATCCGTGGGCACACATCCCAACTCCTGTAGTCTCCCCAGGTCCTGAGTTCTTCTGGGAGGTATAAAAGGGCCGGGGAATAGCTCAGCATTGTAACAACCTGTCCCAAGTCCAATTCTCTCCAGCCAGATCCCATCAGTCTTCCCATGGTGCAGGTGGGGCAACTGAGACAGGCAGGCCCAGCCTTCGACTTGCTTCTTCACCACCTGTAGGTCAAACTGCTGACACCTGATCCCCTGGAAGCCAGAAGCAGGACGCAGGGAAAACCCTGCCTCCTTGAACCAGAGTAATCCACACACATGGGCTCTGCAAGATCTCCTCCAAACCTCCCATACCTGTAGTGCTGCCACCTCTCCCTTTGTGCCCAGGGACAAGAGTAGGGAGAGCATCTCTCTGGGACCAGATCCAAAAACAACTGTGGAAAAGATACCACCAGATGCTCTTTCCCCTGAGGGGCCTCCTCTGGTTCCCACTGAGTGACCTTCAAGCCAGTGTGCGAGGCTGCAGAAATTAAGAGGTTAAAAGTCACCCACTCTCAAGATAGAACTTTTCATACACTCAGGTCCCTCCCCCAACAAAGACACAGAAATATACACACCAACATGCCAATCAGCACACTGGCAATGCAGTAACACACATAAGCCCTGACTCACCAAGCACCACAGGGATCTCCCTTTTCAGGACACACACACACACACATACACACACACAGCCTCTACCACAAGCACACGGCATCCAAGAATCACATCCATTTTGTATGCACATCTGCACACCAGAAACCTGAGGAGTGTGTCTCACTTCCATAGTACAGAAGCTTGGGAGTGTGAATGAGAAGACTAAGCTGTCACCTTAGAGAGGGTCATCTCATTCCCAGGTCAAGGTAACAGA